GGGCTGTCATCACGGTAACATTGCTGTAAAAGTCTTGGTATACGAAGCACCAATGCACACAGTTCTGTCCTGTAAAACATGCTGTTTCCCAGTTGAGTATATCTAACAACACTATGTTCGATCACCATTGTCCCGATAGATGGCTGCTACCTCGACGTGGTGATTGTGCTTGCACATCACAATGACCCAACAAATTATGTTGGTGGAACGCTTATTCCCTCGAGGTCCTACCATACCGGAAAGATAACTATATAGTATATAAAAGAAGTTTGAAGGTCGTGTGATTACGTAGATATGAATGGAGTGGAGAGTAGTCTGCGCGACGATCGTGAACAGTGGTGGGCAGCGAAGGCTAAAGAGATGGAAAAGGCAGCGGCGATCGGTAACAGTAGACAGTTATTTAGACTTATTAAGGAGACTGGGGGGAAATGGTCAACAACAGTTAGTGAGGTTATAGCGGAGAAGGACGGATCTGCGATTCACTCGCAGGGAAGGCGACTGGGACGATGGGCAGAACACTTTGAGGAACAGTTTAACTGGCCTCCAGCCACCATTGCGCTGCCCGCTATCCAGTCGGACCCTGAATGGGACATAGAGACAGGTCCCCCAACACTAGAAGAAGTTGAGAAAGCGGTAGGTAGCCTGAAACGGGGAAGGGCAGCAGGACCAGACGGACTACCTGCTGAGGTATACAAGAATGGTGGTAGAGTTCTCTTAGTCAGGCTAACGGAAGTGTTAGCCAGTATATGGGAATCAAATACGATCCCCTCCGACTGGTCTAAGTCACTCATCATCCCAGTCTTCAAGAAAGGCGAGAAGTCCTCTTGTGATAACCACAGAGGAATCAGCCTGACAAACATAGTGTCTAAGATCCTAAGTTCTATAATTCTCCGACGCCTGAGTGGAGCTCGGGAACAGCAAGCCCGAGAAAACCAGGCAGGCTTTAGACCTGGCCGTGGATGTATCGACCAAATATTCACACTGCGCCAGGTCCTGGAACATAGGCATGCTTACAGACGCCCGACAATAGCTGTATTTCTCGACCTGAAGGCGGCATTTGACTCCGTTGATCGAGAAGTCTTATGGCAGTGTCTGTCACTGAAAGGCGTGCCTAGTAAGTACATCACCTTATTGAAAGCTCTCTACTCGAACACTTGTGGGCATGTTAGAGCCTATGGTGAGTTGTCCAGGGAGCTATACTCATCAAGTGGTGTCCGTCAAGGATGCCCACTATCCCCATTCTTATTTAATTTTATCATAGATATTCTTATGGAGGTTTCCCTCTCGTCACCTAATTACAAAGACGTTGACCGGATCACAGGTGAATTTTCCTTAGATCTAGAATATGCAGATGACATAGTCCTGTTAGGTGAAGACGCTGACAAGATGCAGAGTCTTCTGAACACTTTGAGTGGGAATTTGAGAATGTTTGGGATGCGATTTTCACCACCCAAATGCAAATTTTTGCTCCAGGACTGGTCTTCAGCGGTACCGCGGTTAACAATAGAGAGTGAAGTGGTTGAGTGTGTTGACCACTTCACTTACCTGGGAAGTAGGATCAACCCGGTGGGTTAGTTGCCGATGAGATTTCTGCACGGATACAAAAGGCTCGATTGGCTTTTGCCAATTTGCGCCACCTATGGCGCCGCCGTGATATTAAGGGTCGCGTGTACTGCACAGCAGTCCGCTCTGTTCTACTGTATGGCTGTGAAACATGGCCATTGAAAGTGGAAGAGACAAAAAGGTTACAGGTGTTTGACCACCGTTGCCTTCGTAGTATAGGACGTATTCCGTGGTGTCACCATGTGAGTAATGCAGAAGTTAGGTGTAGAGTTTTGGGGAGAAGAGGTAAGTCAGTCGACGAGGTTGTGAACCTTCATCGACTGAGATGGTTGGGACACGTACTACGTATGCCTAGTCACCGATTGCCTCGTCACACAATGTTGGCTGAGGTGGGTTCAGGCTGGAAAAAGGCCCGAGGTGGCCAGACTAAAACATGGCACCAATGTATGAAGTCTCTGACTGTTGGTTTAAGCCATGTAGGACGATGCAGACTAGGTGGTTGGGGTCCACGGGACAAGAGGAACCAGTGGTTGGAGACCCTAGGTGATATGGCTCAGAACCGAAGTCAGTGGCGCAGATGTATACACACATTATCCTCATCTTAACAACGCTATACCGAATCTCACTATTTTGTCACTCCTCTTTCCTTTCTTCTCGTACTTTATATTTCTTTTGACTGCATTCACTTATCTTCATCCTTCACCTCACTACCTTTTTACTTGATGTGCTGATATGAGGTGTGGCAACTCGGACCGTTACGCAGTAATGCCTGGTCCTATGTTGATAATGATAATATGATGATACCACTTGATATCCACAACTCTCTTGATACCCCCATCATAAGCCCTAACAGATCACGTGTTCGAAAACAGCGCCTTCAGCACGGCGATGTACTTACCTGCTATCCCTTTCAGTGAAAGACATTACCACAAGACTTCTCGGTCGACAGAGTTAAATGCCACTTTTACACGAAGAAATACACTTAGTGTGGGGTACCAGTGTATCTATGTCTAGCAACTATATAACGTTAATCAAAGCTCTCTAATCAAACTCTTGCAGTACTGTGTAGGCTTACGGAGAGTTGACATCGGAACTGACGAAAACTAGTGGTGTCCTCCAGGGATGTTCACTGTCACCGTACCTGTCTAACTTCGTCATGGACGTACTAATGGATATAACCTTAGGTACGTCTGACTTCACACGGACTGACTACTCCCTGGTGGTCATCTGGTTGACTTCGAGTATGCAGACGATATTTTTCCTGATTGGTGAAAATACTGACACATTGCTGGGTCTTCTGAACGTGTTGAACAGAAACCTGAGTATATTTAGCATGCCTTTCGCTGCACCTGTTAAACGTAAGATGATGCTCTAGGACTGATCTGCAACTACTCCCAGTTCAATTATAGAGAGTGAAGTGGTAGAATGAGTTGGTCACTTCATTCACTTAGGGAATCGCATCAGCCCGAATGAGCTGGCTGCTGACGAACTTAGATCCGATGCAAAAAAACCCGTTTGTCACTTGCCGACTTGAGTCACCTGTGGCGCCAACCGGCGAACTATCCGACTATCTATAAAAGGACAAGTATACTGTGCTGCAGTCCGTTCTGTCAGTTTCACAGCTGTGTGACATGGCCATTAAAAGTAGAAGCCACGAAGCGATTACTGGGTTCTGATCACAGATGTCATTGTAGCATTGCTTGAGTTTGGTGGCTCGTACATGTAATGCGTATGCCGAGTCACCGCCTGCCTCGACGTGCTATGCTAGTGGAAGTTGAATTAGTTTTGTAGATGGTTCAAGACGACCAGACCAGGGCGTGGCACCAGTCGATGAAGTCTCTAACTTGGCCTCAGTCGTGTGGGGAGATACAGACTGTCTGGTTGGGGTCCTCAAGACGAAAGGAATGAGTGGCTGAGAACTGCCGGTGACATGGCTGAAAATCTGTCACAACAGCACAAATGTATTCACTCCTTGACATCTTCTAAACCCTAAACATTCACACTAACCTTTATCTTCAGATTTTTTATGTTCTCACACTACCTTATCTACTTTGGTGTCAGTCTTTTTCCATCCACCTGTGTTTTTTGCACTGCTTCAAAGTGTGGCAACTTCAGCCGAATTAGCTACGTACGAGGTTTTATGTTAATTTTGTCACTTAGTCAGTAACTATATCTCACGACCAGGTCTGAAACCTGCCAGATTTTTTTATTTTTGCTGTTCTAAATTTTTACCTAAGTGCCTGATGGATTGAGAACTTCCAGTCTCATCCGACTGGTTCTTATATAATTATCATAGGATAACCAGTGATTGAGACCAGTCAGAGGAGTTATATCTGATTCCTATACGCTAAATAACTCTTTACTTAATCTAAGTGTTTAACCATTTTCCTTAAATACTTCTGATACTGGTCTATCTGATCCTGCTACGTTCCTCGTTTCAAGTCACTTACAGCTTTCTTAACTTCACCAAGGGTTTGTAAGGTTATCTCGGTATCGTATTTAGAATCCGACTGGATAGTAGGCAAAGGGGTAGAAGTAGGTCACTTGAATTGTGCTTCGAAGTGTTCCGCCCATTCTGCCAGTTGCAGACCCATTCTCTTTTGCTATGATTTTACTAACCATTGACCTCTTCCCTGCATCCTCAATCAGTCAAAATAGCAATCTACTGTTATCTGTCATCGCTGCCTTTTCCATCTCTCTATCATTTGCTGTCCACCACTGTTATGGTCATTGAGTAGGCTCTTTGCCAGTCGACTCTTCAGCTGCTTCCGCTTCTTATTATCCTCAGGCTCAGTATGCATGCATCTACGTGCATCTATTAATGTAGGAGTTGCTGAGATCCACTGGTGCTTTCTAACTCTTCTTTGAGGGTCAGTTATGACCTTCAAAGCCATTTTTACAACAGACTGAAGGTAGTGCCAGGTTTTTTTTCGTATGACTGACGTTGTCCTGTTCCAATAACTTTTTAGACAGTTCCTCATTGATGGATTTAGAGTTAGCTGGAAAGCCCATACCTCCGACACCGGAATACCTCAAGGCAAGGAGAGGGTGCTATTTTGTGACCAACCTTTTCTAGTCTCCGTTTGCCACAGGAAAGGTAACACCATTATGAACTGCTGATGATTCATAGGGAACACCTTACTTCTGCCAAACCACGTCCAGTCAGCAGCATGACTTCGCCCTCCGATTGCCTATCTTGGAGTACCTATCGACACCAATATCCAACAGGTCTTCTCGACATAGTAAGACATCAAGGAATAGAATTCCCCATTAGTATAGCTCGTTGAATAATTCTGAGATGCAAGCACGAACATCACGTCAAGATAGCAGTTGTCGTTCAGGCCACATTCGGAAATGAAGTTTTATCCAATCCGTGGCAAAAACAAATTTCAAAAAAACGACAATCAGAATCAACCTCAAAACGAATAAGAACTTACCAGATAGGTCTAAATTTGTATTTGCCCATTCTCTCAATACTTTAAAATCTTGTTCCCCAGCAGGTTTCAATAAAGTTCTAAAAGGTTCAAGAACATCAGAAATAAGTCTATCAGGAGATGTTGGAGAACACATATTAGGAGAACGCCAGATAACAGACAACCAATCGTTACAACCAAGGTGTTTTGCCAGAGATCTTCGTAAATAACGAATAAGTTGTATACGGTTATCATTAGATGCATGTAAACCCGTTGATGGACCGAAATATTGACCACTTGCAAGTCGAACCCAATATTCCCATACAGTCCGACGAACCTGTAAAAGTACAAGTTTCAAATAACAAGAACCTCGATCGTAATAATACATAAATAATTAATCACACACATGAGAAAAACAGAAGTAAAATGACTGAAAAACAGGAACATGCAAACAAAATTGTTAGATGCTAAAATTACCTCACTAGTACTACAGTGTCTCAAGAAAGCACTGACTATTTCATTCGAAGACAATTTGATATGCATACCAGCTATGTGTCCACCATTTTCTGTGCCACCAGAACTGCTGGCAACCAGTATGGTGCTGATGGAGCCAAATCTGATTCAGCGACTTTTATATCTAGTCTACCAGTGAGAAGATCTGAATGTGACGGTGTTTCTATACGACCAGTACGTTCCGAACGTGAAACATGAGGCGATGATACTACAGCTGTAGTCCCAACCATCACTTGAAACTGCATCTCTTCTTTCTCTATATCTGTATATGCATCATGTATAGCTTCCAAAGACTTCGAAGAATGTCGCGGGATAGTACTTGAAGAAACTGTAGTAGTGCTTACTCCATGTGCATCATTTTTCGATTCTGAGAGTGAAGTCACCTCCCCACATTTATTATTGGGAAGTAATAAATCAGTACCCATTATCCAACAGTCATAGATCCATGCGTCCAGAAGGCCTGAAACAAAATAATTTTAAAAATTTTCATTTTCGAGAAATAATGCTACTCAAGAGCTTCAACAACCGGCTTCGAATATGATATGAACTTACGTAAAAGTGCCAAAACTCTTTAGCCCAGTTCAAACCTAACCCTAAATCAACTAATTCGTCGGTTAATGCCACGTCCTGAAATGAATACAGGTTTATTCCATTGTATCCCTACTTTACGTGACTTCATACATTCGACTTGGCAGTAAATCATAGGCGATATAACACTCAAACTACCTTAGTGAGTAGCGATTTAACTCACTGGCCTAACATTTGAATGCAAATGTGGATGCCGTTATATCCATACTCTGAAAAATATTTTACTAAGCCCATTTTCAGCCTACTTATTACCTGTGAAAGAAATGTGAAAATATTATGAATCGATAGTCTAACTACATCCCCGTACAGTGGCTGTTTCTAAAGTTTGGCGCAGAAAGTATTCATAGTTAAAAAATACGAGAATAACAATGATGACCCAGCTCGGTTACCTGGGCTGCGAGCGACACTGATTGTGCGAAGGTTTACAATAACATCCAGTCACTCACGTCAAAGTAGGTGGAGTCGGCACTTGGAAGCCATTGCTTAAAAGTCAGATACATAAACAAATGAACCCCAAACCTATAAATCACCACCGTCATCACAAACACAGGACTAGGTATTACTGAAAGCGATTCAAGTTGCCACACCTCATTTCAGTACATCATGTGAAAAAGCGCTAAGATGAAAGATCAAAAAATAAAGAACCAGCCAAAAGTAGCAAAAGAGGGGAAGGACGAATGGCAAAATGAATTCACTATAGTGATTGAGACTAGGACAAGGTGTGGATACACATGTGCCACTGATATCGATTCCGAGTCATAACACCTAGAACCACTTCCGTACACGGATACAAACAACAGTCAAAAATCTCATGCGACGATGGTATCTTCTAGTTTGACGACCTCTAGTCTTTTCCCAGCCTAAAACTATTTCAGCTAGCATTATGGGATGAAGCAGACGGTGACTGGGTATGCATAACACATGCCACCATCTTAGTCGGTAAAAGTTTACAACCTTATCGACTGAACTTCCTCCTCTCTCTAAAACTCTACACCTGACTTCTGTATTACTGATGTCACGACACCACGACCCGGCCTATGCTACGAAGGCAACGGGGGTTTAATACCTGAAGTTTTCTCATACCCTATGCGCTCAATGGCCATTTTGCACAGCTATACAATAGAACAGAGCGAATGGCGGCGCAGTAAACTCTGAACAGAAGAGAAATAATAATAAAAGAAGTGTAGAAATCGTGCTCATTTTATAGTGTAATTTTCCATTTGATTAGTTGCTTTGACATAGTTAAGCGGTACGGTATTACTTACTACATGAGGTGGGGCGTTAATGATAATAGCTCTAAGAAACATGACTACGTGATATAAGATAAACATTTCTAGAACTCAAGTAAGACTAGTGAATTTATCTGCACACTCTGCAATCGACATTGAGCAATCACTGGGAGCTACCGGCCACTGCTTTCCGAATTCGTCAACTGAGTTATATACAAATATAGAAAACTTAAATGACAGTTTAAAAACCACGAACTGCCACCGTGAACTGGAACAGTTTTCAACTGGTTATCGTATGGTTGACATGATTGTTGGTTCAAAATGTATGGCTACACTTAACCCACCAAAGGTATATTGGAACTGTTTTTGACATGCAATTAAACCAACAATAAGTTTATTAACGTGCATCGACTGACATAACTAGGCTGTTAGAAATTTTGAGCCATCACTAACAGTGGTATGCTATAATTTTTGGAGCACGGTGATTTTATTTGTTTGTTCATTACATGTCACACTGATATAAAAGCATTTACTAGATACCGATTCCTATTAATTTAATGATTGAGTCATTATACGATTGCGGGTAAAGCGAAGGTCACGCTTTTTTTACATTCCTTATGTTACTTAGGACTAGTTATTTTGATTTAGTTAAGAAACATAAGGTGGGGATTGAGTGACAGTTATACAGACATTTGAGCAAAGGAAGAAGTTGATCGGCAAATCCTTAACTCAATACCAAACATGCAATCAAAATTTTGAACTATTTACCCCAAATATTGGGCAGGACCTACTACCTTTATCACAGGAACAGAAACAACTGGAAACAAAACCTTGGTTTTAAGTCGTGGATATACCACTGTAGGACGTTTGGTAAGATCTATCGGGAATATTTTCCGGTAAGTGCTGAAACTTCTAAGAAACAAACTAAAATGGAATTATACCATAACAGTGCTCAAACCTAATGTACATTAAGGCAGGATTGTTTGAAAGAGACTATGGCTACAAAACCGAAACATGGCACCCATCCATACTACCTGTGACGATTTGTCTGAACTGTGAACTTACTGAATAGCTATAGCCCGAAACCAAACGCAATGACAGGAAACTAAATGACCCTCCTCCGCCAAATTCGACTGTAATGATTCAGCTGTGTTTACTGTTATCCTCGCAATTATGAACCAGTTTTCAAATTTCTTTGCTTCTCCTTGTCATTTTCCCGATTCATTTTCTTCTGTGTTGCTATGACGTATACTAACACATATATTTTGCAGTCCAATCATCTCAACAGTTAAGAAATTAAACGCTGGTTATAAAAGTGACCCATATGGATAACGTCGTAAATAAATCACACGGACAAATCAACGCGTAGCCATGTAAAAAAGCGCCACAATTCACAGCAGCACGCAAGTGCATAGAAATGGTGACACTGGTTATAAATATATGCAAGGGGGAAGATTAAACAGATGAAAGTTAGTGAAAATAACCAAGACTTTGAAGATGACAGTGTGTTCATGTGAACCTCTGATTCATTTAGAGCGACACCATCGAGTTTCTAACCACTAATTCCCATCGCCTTGAAAGAACTTATTCTGTTTACATCTGATTAGACTGTGACATGCAATACAGAGAGTATTGGGGTATATATGACAAAAGATTTCAATACTCTAATAGCGTTAACAGAACAATGGATTTGGGTGATGGGCTAGAAAGACTAACTTTAAGAGCACAGACTTTTATATTAGATGGAGGTCGAATATGAGAACGAATTACCTTTTTCAAACTCATCTAAATTAGAGTTGGTTCGTTTGAGTGTCAGGAGTGCATCATATATAGAGGAATCACGGCAAAAATATTCACGTCTGGCAGTTTTCAATTTCTGATAGAGGCGAGATACCACTAAAGTCCAAACAAAATCTTCTTTTATGTTGGTGAGGCAAGTTAAGTTGCAGAAAGCTTGTTCGACAGGAAAAGATGCTTGTTCAAGGGCAAATATGATGATGGAGTCATTCTTTGGAAGACTGCCTCTTTGGATGTTGTCTGATAACTTCGACAGGGAAACCTGGTAGTTCATGATAAGTTTTGAAAACTCCCCCGAACACTCTGTCAGGTTTTAAATCCTCTAAACTGTTGGCAAAAAATATATATAAGCAAGCCAATCTACTTTGAAATATTTAGCGGCTCCAAAAGGTTTTGTGTGACATAAGATTCGCTAGGTATCTCTGGGATAAGGTAATAGGACGGTCCATGTTCATTTTTATAACTTCCACCAGCAATGTACTTCCTGAGGCCCAGTTTTTGCCTCCGAATGGGGCAGAGCAAGGTCAGCAGGCGGAGCATCGTACTCCGCGCTTCCAGACACTTGACCTAGTCTCGGATATGACCTCTAACCAGCTCTCCGTCATGTCAAAAAAGTTCACTATAAGCTTCATTTTTTCTTATTCACGACATTATCTTTGTGCTTAATATGAAGTTGATATTTCTTGAGTTCTGCATCTACTTAAGAGGAAGAAAGCCTTTAAGCGGAATAGTCATAATTCTTGTGTTAAAGTCAAAAATTGTCTGAGAAAAAGAGATTGTTGAATAGTCTTCCCCTTATTTTATTAGTTGCTAACGATGTATTATAGGGAAACAACTCATAGACTACGCTTTGGATTCACAATTAGATACTCATCCTTTTATCGGTAAAATTGGATGAAGTAGCCAATCATGTGTTCATTTGATGCCATCCAGACCGTTCTACATGCTTGATAGCCGAGTAGAAGCTTTCTCCTGACTACCTTCCGTGTCAAAGAGCTGTGGGACACAAATTCAACCAATGTGCAAGAAAATAAAAGAACATAGGCGGTGGTTGCATCAATCAAGTCAGCTAATAGCAATAATAATTTATTCCTTGATTTTCAGATGCATATCATTTCTGCAGATATGGTTATACCACTTTAGTGATTGTGATGCAACTAATGCTTGCAACGCGAGTGGACCTTCGGCTGATTTTGAAAGGGCTTAGATGTGATAATTTGAAGCACATCCGTATATTAACAGTATTCGAAGACATACCAACTACTAAGAAGTGGAACGTGATGGATATTTAACGTAATCCCTTGAATTCGCATGCGTTCTCTGAGTTTGGTTTTACAACTCGGCCAGAACAAGTGATGAATTTGGTGCCCACACATATCTAGAATGTTAAGTCATTAATGAACCCGCCCACTAACCTTGGCGTTCTGCACTTCAGGGGATATAATTCAAGCAATGCGAATCTTTTGTTGTAAATTTTAATTCTTAATCCTCGAAGCTATTTGGTCCACCTCCTCTAAATGCATTCAAGACCTCTGTCCTCTTACAGGGGGCGGCATCGTATGAAGCTAGGGAGAATTTATCGCATACGTGTACCGTCGGGATGTTCAAATTTTCGTTACTGAAGTTACTGGGGTCAAGTTGGCATGAAAACGGTTTCTACAGCAGCCAACATAAAGTTTTATGTTTTTGGGGACGAAAAAATCGAAATCTTTCTCCCCTGATGGAACTTCTGGTTCTATTAACTTCATCAAATGTGTATTCACTTGTCTTGACAAGTAATAATTATTTGGCAGTATGCTTGCCTGGAAGTCCCTAATTGCATGAATACTGGCTTCAGTCAGGCGGATGAGTGATACAACCGACAGGCCGGTTTATCCGGAAACCAAGCTTTCTGCCATAACGTCAAGTATTGAGGGGCCAGGGCTTATCCATATCTACCCTGCATTAGTAGTGAGAAAGTTGCTGGAGCTGTGCACAAAGCGCTCCCGAATTGAAAGACACCGTGGGAAAACAGCCCAGGGCTCGATGATATCCGACACTGACGTTGGTCTTGATAATTTTACGGACTTGTTGGGCTGGGGGCCCACGGCCAGGCATCCACACCGTTTAGCACGTTATCATTTTGTTGTGTCCCTTTCGTGACACCGTAGCTAGCTACCTCATGTATCTTGGCAGACTGGCAGGATTTACTCAGCGAATGAATCCCACCTGACCAAGCCATTGTGGTCTCCCAGGATCTGGAACACATGGGTAATGAACAAGTACGAAGAATTATAACTTTGGCTCTGCACCCGATTGGTCAATTCATTAGCTGGTCAGCCCATTAGTTTCTGTACTATGCGGTTGCTTCTCATGCATTTAGCCTTAATTTACTGGCATTGTAGGCTCCTTAGTACAGCTACGGTCACATTTCAAACTTTTCCGTATAAACCGTCAAAACGCACCGTATAGGTTGAGTCATTCTCTCCAGACGATACAAAAACATGGATTTCGCACTCCAAAGTAGATTTCCTGGGACAGGTGTCACAGCAAATATGTTCAGTCATGACGTCAGTAACCTGCATGCACTAATCGAAGTCACAGTTTTGAAGGTAGTCCATCTCAAAGATCGCCAAAGAGTGGACGAACCACTCTACAGTGTAGAGTTGGGGAACCCTCAGGCTACTGACGTGCTTGTATATGTTCCAGATGCAAGCGACCAGCAAAACATTCGATAATGGCCTTTTCATGGAGCCATTTATCCATAAACTCCAATGACCGGTGAAAACTCTGATGTTTAAGTTGCAATGCGTTGCCACTTCCAACATAGATCTTGGCCGATAAAATACCTCAGATGTCTTCAAGATCTGGTCAATATAATGACTAATATTTACCTCATTTATTGTAATTCCATGAACCGTACACCAAGTTTCACCTAAGTCAATGTTTTATAAAGCATCAAGAGAGATTTTGTCGGAGCACAGACATTCCAAGAGTCGCATGACTGATTCTGATCAGCCGCCTATCACTAAATGGATCTTCGGGTGATCGTGCATTCACCGTGACATTTCGTAAACATGGCCATTTCAGGTAGTTTCAAACTGAGATAAACAACACAAACAGAAGAGATCTTCACAAGAAATACTTCTAGAAGTTTTCATGAACTAAGAAAACTGGGGTATAGGTTTGTACAAGTTACAAGAATAAACAACTTCGTAGTAACGAAGGCGTAGTGAAGAAAAAAATGTTAGTCTTAGCTAGGATGATTAAGGTTATTTTGAGTTCTTTCTTCCTCGGATAGTGACGACTCCACACCAATTTAGTATTAAACAGCGCACGTCAGGAATCTGCACAAGTGGTCTTTTCGATATTCTTAGGCCAACGGTCTTAAAGATTCATGAGTAGCGTAACGTAGAATAAAGAAGTGAGGTTGCTCTTGAGTGTATAAAGTATACTGATTAAGAACATTGAGTTAACTGCTCCTAAATGTAACCCATTTGTGAAGAAAGTGCTGGAGGGAGATGGGGATGTAGTGTGTTAGGAAGAATGGATGGCATCGTGCTGAAATAACCAGAACGTAAACGCAAGCAAATACAGACTCTTCAGTTCAATCACAAAAGCCCACCTAATGACAGACGTCACTCAGATGTCCATGTAACCATCGTTCAGTGTTTCTGTGCTTACCTCCCAGGCGTCCACGGAAGGTTGGTGGTGGGACAGGACCACGAATTCCTTGGGGGACACCCAAACTAAGGAAGACCCTCACTAACCCTCGCAGATAGCCACATTGGATTGGGAAGCGTAATCTCAATTTTAGGTGGGATTTGTCAACTTGCTCAGTGAAGTCACCACATCGTAGGTTGCAGGAGTTAGCCGAACGGCACGTACTGAGATAACCTAGCGTAGTTTGCCAGTTCCCCGATGTGTCTTCTCTCCCTGAAGGTGAAGGTAAGAATGGGGACATGGAATATTTGAACAATGTTTGAACTTAGTATGGTTGCCCAGATGGCCAGAGAGATGAGAAGGTATGGCATAGAAGTGCTAGAATCTTCGAAGGAAGATGGAATGGAAGTGGACTCTCCGAACTGCCAACTGGAGAGTCAATAATCTACTCCGATATTGTCACCCAAACGACAAACATGAGCACACTGAGTTCTGGAGTGGGCTATCACGATGTCCCCCTCCCAAGAGCATAGGAGGCTCTCTCTCATGCAGTGGGAACCAATCTCCTCCTGCAGGATCAGGATCACGACAGCGAGATTCAACTCCAAAGGAAAGAAAGTTACAATCATACAATGCTATGTTAGGCACCCACAAATAATACGTACAAGAGAAGAGGGAGGAGGAATTCTACAGACAACTGGAATCGGTAATGGACAAGACCCCATGCCAGTTGGCGACATCAAAATTCTGATGGGTGACATGAATGCCAAACTGGATGTGAACAACACAGGAAGAGAACTCATCATCTGTCGGGAAGCACTAGGTGAAATGAATGAGAATGGAGAACTGTTTGCAGATTTCCGCGCATTCAACAACTTGGTGATTGGAGGTAGTGTGTACAAGCACAAGGATATTCACAGGGCAGCGATATGGATTTCACCAGGTGGACTTAGTGTGTCTAAAAATCATATCGATTTCATTTCAGTGCGAAGAAAGTGGAGATGCAGAATACTGGACACAGGATGGGACGAAGAAGGGGGCAGATGTAGATGGTTCACACCACTCACTATGCAGTGCAAGGATCCTCCAGAATCAAGTTGTGAGCCTTCATAGGGGTTGGTGGTAGGCCACAGTCCAAGTTTGACGCCCAAAACACAAGCTGAGGGACGAAACTCTCGAAGACATCTTCTCGTCAGCTGTTAGGAAAAAATGGAAGACATCGAGCAAAATACTTGAGGAAACCTGCGTGAAAGAGCACTGGAACTCGTTGAAAGAGATGTGGAAGGAGACCTGCATAACCGTATTGCGAAGGTAGAAGAAATAGGACAAGGAATGGATTCCGACGGACACATGGAAGCTGATAGACGAGAGGAAGACGGTGAAGCAGAAGATGAACCAGTGAAAGGATGCACAACGAAAAGGGAAAGTGGGTACAACGTATGAAACACTACACTGGGCAAAGGAGTGAAGAAGAGTGCGCGCAAAGACAAAGACACTTCTACGATACACTGGCAAGTGAAGCAGAACAGGCTGCTAGTTGGAGAGACAGAGACCTGACAAAACTATATCAATAGCCAGAATACTTTCTGGGAAGAGATTAATGCAGATGAAACCAATGAAAGGTAGTGAAGGAAACCTAGCCAGCAGGGAGGAGAAGCAAAGAAAACGATGGACTGATCACTTCAAAACACTCTTGAATCGACCACTACCTGCAACTCGTCCAGAAATACCACCGGCAACGGCAGAACTACAAGTGAACATTGGCCCTCCGGCAAAAGCCGAAGTCCTGAATGTCATAAAGTTGCTGAAGCCAGGAAAGCAGTAGGGTCAGATGGAATTCCTCCAAAAGCACTGAAAACGGACGGAGAGGCAACGGCGGACATGCTCATACCACTATTGCAGAAGGTTTGCGAGATAGGAAGAAAAGGTATCTGCTGAGTGAAAAAGGGCTACCTTTTCAAACTCTCAAAGAAGGGAGACCTAACCTTTGCAAGAACTGGCGCGGAATCATGCTCCTGTCCCTGTCCACCCCAAGTAAAATATTGTGCCGCATCATCCTGGAGAGACTAGAGAATGCGCTGGATTCAAAATCGCCACCGGAACAGGCTGGCTGGCTTCAGGAAAAACAAATCATGTGCGGATAAATTTGCAACTCCACGCTTCGCATCATCATAGAACAGAGTATAGAATGTCAGTCAACTCTCTACCACAACTTCATCGACTTTGAAGAGGCCTTCGGCAGCGTCGGCCGAGAAGTAATTTGACAGGCAGCTACTTCAACACTACAGAATACCACAAACCTTTATCAACCTCATTCAACGGCAGCTATATGCTATGTAATGCTACATATCACGTGATTCACAATGGGAAACTCAGTGATGCCCTTGAAGTGAAGACAGGAGTAAGACAAGACTGCCTACTATCGCCGATGATCTTCCTGATTGTGGTGGGCTGGATCATGCAGCAAAACAGTGAGTAGCTCTGAGAAGATGGGTATACGCTGGACTGGACTGGCTGGACTGATGAAAAGAGCCTAGAAGATTTGGGTTTCCCGATGACGACGACGATGATGATGATGATTTATGTCTAGTGTCTTGTCTCACAAACTCGAAGATCTACAAACGAAAACTAACAAGTTGACAGAGGACGCAGGGTAGCGAAGTCGGGACTACCTTCAGGCGAATGTGGAGGAGACAAAGGTGATTAAGATACCCAACCAACAACAGCATCGACAACAAAAGGCATTAGTCAGCATCAACGGGAGAAACCTAAAAGAGGTTGTTTCTTTCATCTGCCTATGCAGTATCGTTTCAACTGCAGGCGGCACAGACGAGGATGTCAAACCCAGGATCAGAAAATTAAGACAGGCTTTCACTAATCTGAAATCAGTGTGGAGATCTACTGCACTCAGCACAAAGAACAAGATCCGGACTCTTAACACCAATGTCAAGCCAGTGCTGCTATATGGTTCAGAGAGTTGGCGCGTCACGTAAAGCACTTCCAACCAACTACAGACATTCATCAACAGCCGCCACCTACACTCACTCGATACTGAAGTTCAGATGGTCAGGATGATAAGAATAAGCAACAAGGAACTCTGGTAACGAACCAACCAAGAACCTATCACCCAACAAATACGCAGAAGAAAGTGGAGATGGATTGGGTTTGGCATACACTGAGAAGGCCGACTGGGGGCATCACGCGTCGGGCTAGGCTAGGCCAGGCGCTCGAGTTGTGCGTCCCAGTTGGGGGTGACGTGGAGGAGATCATTTGAGGAAGAAATGAAAGCTTGTGGAGAGTCGTGGAGCCAGGTTCAGAAGACTGCAGAGAAGAGAGTGGAATGGAGGCGTGCTCCTGAAGCCCCGTGTTCCACCAGGAACCCAAGGGGAAAATAATGATAATTTTGTGGTCGTTGCCTAGGAATTCTGCACCTGCTTGGAGCTTAGTGGGTGCGAATCCATTTGTGAAGACTAGGTCCAGAACATCACGTTATTCGGTTGGCTGTCCCACATGTTGTTGGTCGACCTTCCATTTCTAGGGTGCTTATTAATTCCTCAGAGCCCCTTGGAGTGCTGATCGGTCGCCACCTCATATCTGTCATGCCGAAGTCGCCGGTTTTAATTTTTGTTATGCGTGGTGGTGACACTACGTGGGCAAATACACTTGCCGGCTTCTCGCTGTAATCGACCGAGGAGCAAGGGGGGACAGACACGGAGTGAGTAGGCTTGGCGATAACCCATGCAAATTCATTAATTTCATTAGGTCCAGAAGTTAAGGGCTACGTGACAGTGATGTCACACTTTATGTTGCTAATGAACTCTTCCTTTACAAGGCAGTCTGTCCCCCTGAACAGAGAATGGCTGTCAGTAGAGATCTATGTGTCGTAAGTGTCAGAGGTGCACTAACCTTCCATGATCATTATAGCGGACAGACCACAAATCAGAGATAGCGGTACAATCTCTTTCATTTTGCTGTGAACAGGACGGGTGTCAATCAGGCAAAAGGGGAGTGAGTCAACGTTGCAAAAGTGTTTGGATATATCCCGAAAAAGTCAGCGCTTCTGTACATATTCAGGGGGTCCATTGGGCACACCTCACTAGTGGTGACCTGATGATCTTTGGGACCTCGCCTAGTAAAGAACGACGATATGGAATAAGCTTCCTCGGAGGAACCATGACACTCACCACATTGGGATTGACATATGGGCCCTGGTTGATGAGGAGAGTAGACAATATGGAAGCATTCCAATCACTTGCAACGCTTCTGGCGTTGCGGCTATAGGCTGTTTGAAAAAATCATGTTCATGGGAGGTAATAGGAACTGACCTATTGGACGACATGCCTAACTGCTGGCTGTCGTACTTATTATGGTCGTGGTCGACATCCTTGGAATTATCTTTTGGGATCCGTTTTACCTCTACCATCGAGTAGCACATCTCCCACGTTTCCCTCCTTATGGTTGGAGAGGGGTGTATCGTTTATGGCTACCTTTCGGTTCATTATCCAATAACTGTGACCGTTGTCGGATCAGGCCATGATGCGTCTCTGTTAGTGATTGCCTAGGCAGTGGTTATTTGGTGAGTTGAGAAATAAAATTTGGCGTTTTTCTTAGTGCGGTCTTGGGAAGATGCCACTATCCTTTGGTAATTGGTACCGCTTTTTTTCTTTGGCTTGGCTACTGTACTGAATTTTCGGTAGCTTGGTTAACTCGGGTGGGTGCCGTATCGGGTGTTTAATGGAGTGTTTGATGCTGTCTATACCCCTTGTTGCCTACCCACTTGAAACGTACAAGTAACGGACCGGCTGATAATAAGTAATAATAAATAAATATTTTTTCTCGGCTTAAGAGTTTAACATGAGAGAAGCCAGTTTACAGGCATCTTGAAATTGATAATGGTAAAGGAATCTCTACTAGTTGAGCCGTCCTGAATGGCACAGAAGGTATCACATCGGGGTTTATCATGATGATAAAAGTGACTACGGGTTATGAAAAGAACAGAAAAATATCACTTGAGAGTACATTCAGATTGTTTATGAGTTTCGGTTGTATCCACTCACCATTCTTTTTACGCAATAAAGTGACACCAAAATCCTGCAATATTCAACATTTGCGTTACATGTGACTTAGATGGTTAACCAAGTTAAACTTAGCGCAGGAAAGTGTGATCAGAGTTCAGGAGCGGTAGTTCCCTACATATCTGTTGAGAGTAAATGATAGGAATTCGGTGTTAGTGATGATTATTTAGTGTGATTGATAATGAATTGTCAGGTAGTATGGTGCTGAATATTGTCGAAAATATTCTTTTCTGTAAATGGACGTGTTTTATCATGTTAATTCGTCAGCCTAAGTTTTGCATCATTTTCTTTCTTTAACTTTGCTCTGAACCGCGCCTGGTTAACTAGTTCACTAGTTACTAGCCAGTCGTAATCCCGGATAAAGGGAAGGTTGGGCATAGAGCTCGTAACCCTACCTCTTAAAACCAATTCAATCGCTAAAGAAACTTCTAAGCGCAAAGAAAATATTGAAAATAAAAACAAACTTATTCCTCTCGAGAATCGGAGAGACGAAGTGACGCCGGTTGGTGAAAGCCTTCGGGAAGCCAGTCGGCTGATGTGTGTTCTCTTTTCCCGATGAAAGCAAAAGTAAGAATGGGGACATGGAATATTTGAACAATGTTTGAACTTAGTATGGTTGCCCAGATGGCCAGAGAGATGAGAAGGTATGGCATAGAAGTGCTAGGAATCTTCGAAGGAAGATGGAATGGAAGTGGACTCTCCGAACTGCCAACTGGAGAGTCAATAATCTACTCCGATATTGTCACCCAAACGACAAACATGAGCACACTGAGTTCTGGAGTGGGCTATCACGATGTCCCCCTCCCAAGAGCATAGGAGGCTCTCTCTCATGCAGTGGGAACCAATCTCCTCCTGCAGGATCAGGATCACGACAGCGAGATTCAACTCCAAAGGAAAGAAAGTTACAATCATACAATGCTATGTTAGGCACCCACAAATAATACGTACCAAGAGAAGAGGGAGGAGGAATTCTACAGACAACTGGAATCGGTAATGGACAAGACCCCATGCCAGTTGGCGACATCAAAATTCTGATGGGTGACATGAATGCCAAACTGGATGTGAACAACACAGGAAGAGAACTCATCATCTGTCGGGAAGCACTAGGTGAAATGAATGAGAATGGAGAACTGTTTGCAGATTTCCGCGCATTCAACAACTTGGTGATTGGAGGTAGTGTGTACAAGCACAAGGATATTCACAGGGCAGCGATATGGATTTCACCAGGTGGACTTAGTGTGTCTAAAAATCATATCGATTTCATTTCAGTGCGAAGAAAGTGGAGATGCAGAATACTGGACACAGGATGGGACGAAGAAGGGGGGCAGATGTAGATGGTTCACATTATTAATTTGATAAAAATCAATATTTTGAAATTCGACGCCGTATCTTGCGACTGAGATTTTTAACAGAGAGCATCAGTTTTAGCCAAGACGTAGGTGTTTCCAACTAACGCATCCTGAGTCGAATGAAGTACTCACATCATACATCTCATCACTTAATGTTTGACCATATGCGTCATTCCAGCTGGGAAGATGGGAAGAAACATATCTCACTAACCGATGTAAGACACAAATGGATTATTTTCCCTTAAAACCATGCCAATGATTACGCTGCCAGTGTTTATATTATGCTACATAATATTTTGGCCAATGTGGAAGAAGTTGATTTTGCTGCTCCTAATCGGACAGTTCTTAGACAAGCAAATGATTATGTACATGATTGTTTTCGTGTTAGTTTTAACTCTTTTCTGTGCAATATATCTCGAATTCTTAGTTTTACCTTTTATGAGCTGCAGTAGTATGAGCGCATGACTGAGGTAGTCTGAGCATGTGTTGCGCCATGCCCAACCACTACCTTGGTTGTATCGAGACATGGCATCAGTCCATGAAGTTTCCTACTTGGTCTGAGCTGTGTAGAGAGACGTTGACTGCTTGGTCGGGAGGCGGATTCTTAAAGAGACGATAGTAATCAATAGTTAGGGACTTAGTGAAACGACTCAAAATCTGTCATTGTGGCACGGGTGTATACACTTTTTGTCATCTTCCCAGTTTTAACAATTTTCTTATCATTGTCTCTTCTAGTAGATGATGTAACATGAGTAGTTGGTACAGTTGTGAACTCTTGAAGAACAATCTTTATACGTTACTCATTAGAGTCGCTCACTTCCTCGAAAGCGTGAAAAACTGACATGGGGAATAAAGGTTTATTGACAAAGTAACATATATTCGAAATGTAACGCCATACATTTTTTCAGTCATCTTGGTATTTTTGACAAATTTTGGAAGAACAATTCCTATCGATTGATTCGCGTGTGAAGCTCACTTGTGTGATCACCTGTCATTCCGCTAACTTTCAATATGCAATGACTGGTTCTGGTAGGGTAGTTCAGGCTTTTTTGAAGAATCCAGTGTTTAAAGCTGGTATAGCAGCCACTAGGAAAGGCGCCTAATAGAAAACACAGGATCGTGGTTACCGACTAGCATAGGCACTCACTGAACGAATCCTGTTCACCTAATCCACTCGAATGATCACACTCTTAAAATAGTAACTAATTGAATAATAGAGTAATACAGGGCAAACTCTTGTATGTGAATGCGTGAAGTTGCAGTATGTACGACGTAGCTTTGAGCTCTGGTTAACAGATTTAATATAGACTAATAGAATACTAATATAGACTAATTTTGATTTCGTGTAATTATACTCACTTTTATTACTTGCTGTCAACCCATTCATCATGTGATTCAGGCAAAACTCTAGAAGCTTGGGATGTTGATTATGCATTGGAGCAATATAATTATGCAGCTGACTATGCAGAATTGGAAACGGTGATCACACCGCCGGATGGTTCTTTACTTAACTATCTTCATACTATATTTTCTGAATTAGCGAATGTGTTTCATTTGAAGCTGACTTCTCAGATACCAAGATCTTCAGTAAATGGTGTGTCCTATGTTGTTGAGAAATTGGTATATCATGTAGAGGATTTGTCACAAGGTACATTACTCGGTGAAATAATCATTGATCCTTTTGCTAGGTGAGTAATAATTAAACTTTATTTTAGTATCTACATAGGTTTGTCACTTCTAAATTATTATTTCATTTTATTTCCGGCATATTGCGCAGCCAATATCAACAAGAAACTTAACAGTAGTATTAGATAGCAGTTTATAACAAGATGATAAAAAGGAAGAAAGACTTCAGCAAACAAATTTTGGTGATATCATCCTCAACAGCTGTGCAATCTCACCGAAATATAATTATGTGTGCATGTTTATTGATAAAGAATGTCAACATTTGTTAACCAACAGTTCTTAGTAGGTTGTGGCTAAGCAAATTATGTAGGAGTGAAAATGACGTAAGAAGCGTGAACAAGTGAGTTAAAATGAAGAATTAAAGAGTTCACAACAAAGTAAATAGTAATTGTCAGTGTGGAAAGGGACAGGAAGTTAATAACTGAGCTAAAAACATTTACAGAATAACTGTATGAAGACCAAAAAGGTCAGTTAGGCTTAAGAATTCGAAAGCTTAAGAATTAGGAAGTGAATAAGAACATGGAGTAGCCAAGTTTGTGTCGAATACACAGTTTTGGTTTCAGTTTTTATATTATGAGAGCTTATGAGAGATTATATTGTGTACTTTGCAGACTATTGCTAAGAAATCTTTCGCTTCCAATCAGATATTGTGGTATGAATATATTGACCGATCTGCGTTGGTCTTCACTGAACCTGACGTTTGGATTGTCGATACTGACGTGGTGACATGATGAAACATGGTCTGTGCTAGTAAAGCAATAGCAGTCGGTCAACTGAGGTCTTTTTATATCCTATGCCTTTCCATGACCATGTTGCACAGCCGTTCGGTGGGACAGAATGAACTTCACGGTACACTTGACTCCTGGAAAGCACTTGAACATATCACCGACTCCATAGATGACGTAATTCGGCAAGAGCCAGTAGTGTGTTTATAGATATCACTTGTGAACCGCCAATCTATAGTCTTTTATATCTTTCAGATTTGCATTCAGTTCTTTCATCCTTCCACATTCAGAACCTTGGTAGTGTTAAGGTTAAGTGAAATTTTTCGGAGAAACAATCCCACTGTTCACGTGTATGTATTCTGAAATTGAGATAATTACTTAACTTTAATCTTAGTCGACTAACGTTTCAAAATTGGACTGGATTCAGTGTTTGGTGATTTAAACCTTTGTTTATCACTTGTTTTGTGAGGTGTGTTTACACCATTATCAGTTTTCACATAACTGGGGAGGGAGAATCAAGTGAATAGATCACTTGGGCTGCTTTCTTCTACTTCCATTGGAGTTATTATTTCTGTAGGTTTTTAACATGATGTTACTTATGATGATTGATGACTGTTTTCCGTCCTTAAGAGATTTACTGTGAAGCAATGCTGTTGTATTCTTGCGATATAAACTGCCTAATTTACTCCATATTAGATTGTTTATTCAATACAGGACATAGTGACATAGTATAATTTACTGGATGATGTTTTGAGCAGAATTTACTTCTCATGTTCATATCGAAGTAATCGTACGACTTTCAAACTTTCTTCATATAGTCCAAAAGTTCATCCATAAATGAATATAACGTCATCCAGTAAAGTATACTATGTCACCGTGTTGCATATCAAATAAACAATCTGATATAAAATTATGTTCTACAACAGTGCCCAAGTTTTTCTGTTTTTTAATATAGCGTAACCTGGTACATGTTTTTATGCACTATTTTATCAGGTACACTTATAGTTCGAGAGTTTGTGATACTACCTTTCATTAGTCACGTAAACATCCGCTCACTCAGCAACGAATGGGCCACAATTATTGAATAATTGCTAGCTGTGCTGTTTGGTTATACTAATGAAGTTCATGAAAATAATTATGCTAGTAACTAGTTAACTATTGCCTATTGAAGAATCTCAGATCTCCAAAATGTTCTTTTTATAGCTTATTGATTCATCTTTTAATGAATCTCATAGTTAGCTGTCGAATACCTTTCCGGAGAACATTTCTTTTCCTCTGCGTATTCACTATGATTCATAATTCAAGACTGTCTTCTCGAGTATTCTACTGCTGTTCATATTTCCTTTATGTCGTTTTAGCGTAACAGCAGTTCAGTAGGACTATTCTGATAATAAATACAACAACTTTTTTCCTATGATCTTACGTTTTGTTTGATATGTCAAAAGTTTCAATGCAGATATCTTCTTTAAATTTCCCAAAGTTAAATCATTGATTATATTCGAGTTGTTTTCATCATTTGTTCGTTACTATTGTTTTCTATTTGTTGTTTTAGAAGTGGTCGTTTAATTCCAGTTGGCGGCATTCACTTACTCACAGTGGCAACACGCAACAATTTATCAGCAAATGATATTCGTATACTCTCTGGATCAACGCAGCATCCAATTGTTTATCTGTTAGGTAGCTTAAATCCTTCGACTGAAACACTTGGTGTTTCGTTCGGTGTAAGTTCACTGACTTTTTTTCATCTTTCGTTTACTGTACAATAGTTGTCGAACTGAAGGTCTGCAGTCACAACCGATTTGACCATAAATACACTAAAACATCGTGGGTAAACACAGTGAATCATGAATATTTTCAAAATTACATCTTTGAAGAATTGTTCTGTTATCCGGATTTAGTGAATAGTGGTTATGGTATCGAGTTTTAAACAAGAGAAGCAAATTTATTTCAAGTTGTTATTCATCGTAGACTGATATCAGTCAGAGGAACACTGGAAACCTGGGAGACTGGAGAGCTGTTTCGTCCTAGTATGGGACTCCTCAGTAGTGCGCACCCACGACCCCGCCAGGGATCGAACCCGTGACCTTCAGGTTCCGTGGCCAGCACGTTACCATTGAGCCACTGGGTTGAAACCCAGTGGTCCATATTTCCAACTTCTGTCAGTTCACGACATAGTGCGACTGCCGCCCGATGTCCTGGCTGGGTATTTGTCCTCACAGCCACCAGGTTCCCCGCACCGGTCACGACTTCTCACTCGAACTTCGGGATCGTGTTTGCGTACTACTGAGGAGTCCCATACTAAGATGAAACAGCTGTCCAGAGCTCACAGGTTTCCATTGTTCCTCCAACTGATGTCGGTCTATGATGGATACCAACTTAAAATATATCTAAATCCCCACAAACCACTCAAATTCAAATTTGTCTGTGTACTATCAACATCCCATCGACTGTATTGGAATGCAGAAAGGTTAGGAACATTATAAGAGTGAGCGAATAAACTTACTTCACCAATTCATAATTAGCCTTTTTACTAATCTGATTCTTGTAATGAGCACTGAACTTTCTAGCTGCCCTGTACTGCACCCCACCCAGCATAAAGCGTGAACAACATCCGGATTTTCAACACTAAGTCAGTCAAGTAAGTCAGTGCTTCTGTGTGATGGTTCAGAGACTTGGTGCGCTACGAAAAGCATCTCCTTCCAACAAACTACAGACATACACCAACAGCTGCCATCTACGCTGAAGATCAGATGAGCAGGAAAATAAGAGCAAGCAACAAGGAGCTCATCCTAGCTGGCAACGAGACAGCTAAGAACCTATCGCCCAACAGATATGCAGGAGAAAGTGGAGATGGATTGGATTGGACACACACTAAGAAGACTGTTTGGGAGGATTACGCTCCAGGTGAGGCCCTCGAGTGGAACCGATGATTTTGGCATACTACGGAAAAGACATGAAGCAGATGGTGTGAGGAAGAAACTAGAAGACGTTGTAGCTCACGAAGCCAGCGTAACAGACTGAAGGGGAAGATATAGAAGCGGTGACGTGCTACTTAGACCTTATGTCCCACAAGTAACCCATAGGAAAATTTTAACGAATAAATAAAGATTGCCAAAAAGTCCGCTGACCAGCAAATCACTACACTAACTACGTCCAGGTCTGAAATTGCGGAATTCTTCTTCTTTAATCGTCCCGGGTTGCAGCGTTGGCTCTTGCGTAGGAATTTAGCTTCCAGTCAAGCGTGCGTATTATATCCGTTTGGAATATATAACACACGCTGGTGACATGGAACGTGCACACCATAATTTTAACTGGCTTTGCGTGGTCTACAGTGTGAATTATTTGAACTGGTGCAGCCTATAAAAAAGTCTGCCATGGTGGAAGTACCCTAATTAGTGTGCCTGAACTGCTCCAAAACCCACACAACACCCTCTTTTCACTCATGTCCTGTCCAAGCGGAAATGGGATAGTCATGACCGAAATTGTCGGTCACCGCTAGCTGAAAAAGAGGTTATCTGTGGGATATGAATTGATACATGCTAGGCAAATTTACCCTTGCCTCTTCGAGATGTAAGTTGAGTCGGTACCAATGACCTCACCAGATGTCCCGTAAGACAATAGTTGTGACTTTCGGTGGCAGCGAAATAAATCCAGTTACCCGGAAGGGAGGTTACGGTAATACCTACTCGACCGTACCCCATGAGCTCCTCGAAGACAACAGAGGTTGGTTACATTCCAGAACCGCACAAGGTCATATCATATACTCTTAATTTTCCCTGGCATTTACCCACCATCCTATAATAACCTTACTATTGCCGTTCTCACAGTGCCGCTGGCTTTCATCTTGACTCTGCTTCTGAAAGCCGAAAAGTTATTAGTTGTTACTTGTTTCAACTTGTCACCGACTTTGGTGTTCCTCAAGGTCGTCCTCGGTGTGTACACTCAGCATCGTTCTCAAATGTCCTTGGTCGTTGTTCAAACAGTTAAAGCTTTCTGAAAACGGTATACGATCATAATAACAAATATCTTTGTTCTCAAGTTATAAATTTAACATGAGAGAAGCTAGTTTACAGGCCTCATCAAATTGATAATTGCGGAGAAACACAAAAGGTTTTAGCAGTATTGAGTAATACGTAAGGAGGACATTAAACTCTGTCATGATGCAAAGTGTCTAAATGTTATGAAAGTAGCAGGAAAATATCACTTTACAGTACATGCACATCGTTCTGAGTTTGGATCATTTCTGCTCACAATTCTTTCTTCACATCAAATGGGGCAATATTTGGTGTTTGCGTTGTGAGTAGTCGACATGATTGACCCATCTACGAGACCAAGTGTTTCGTCAGACAGACGTTTATTTTAACAGCAATTCTTATGTTCGTAGATTTATTGACCAACAGTAACTTACTTCAATGATTTCAGGAATGAGTAAGTATCCACACAATCATTTAATCCAGGTGAATGTCTAAGTTCAGGCGTTTCTCACTCTTCAGGTGTTATCTTTTCCAGCAACTCAGACTGGCAGTACAGAAAAAATTTGTTGTGGTGCAAGTAATTAAAGAGTGGAAGAATCGTCGTTCGACAGTGGTGAATGTTACACATGCGTAAAACTTCATAGACTTCACATTAAAGTATGCAGCATTTCAAGGAGATACATTGCCTGTTAATTGACTTCTATTAGATGGATTGATACAAGACAAAGTACTGGAGAAATCTGTTGCATGGCATTATTATGGATGTGTCGCCGTTAGGTAAAGTGATCTGTCGAGTTTGGTTGTTTATCCAGATTTCCGCTGCATTTGTGACGGGCCGGAAATGTGAGACCAGTTATTGTGCTCGGGGTTTTGTGTGTTGTAGCATTTAGGGTACTGGTGGGGAGGTGAGTTGTTTGTGAAGCTGTTCAAGGAACAGGAAATTGGGGGCGGGCCAGCTGATACTTTTAACATCAGTTTCCAGTATTAGGTGCGAAGTAGGATTTCCAGCAAGTTGATACTTCTTGATCAAACTAATGCTTAGTACTTTCTCGTCAGGCTGATGCCGGAAAGAGAAAAAAAAGAAAGCGCAAGGAGAAACTGGACAGTGGAATAGCACGTAAAACAAACCGGGAGGGGAGAAGCTCTTGTCTTTTCAAAGTCATTCGAGCTATCTGTTAACTTTAATTTATTCATATGAGAATGAATCTTCCTTTTTTCGTATATGAAGTTCGAGTTATTAGATAGGCAGTTTTTGCTGGTAAACTCAAAGGGAACACTGGTTATGTATTTGTACTGCACAATCCGACCAGATGGATTAGCGATCAAACACCCTTTATGAGTCCATTGAGGTAAAAAGTACTTGAGATTTATGATAGCTTTACTCTATACGTTTAGAGGTCCTAGTATTCTTCATTAGCCCAGAACGTACAGATAGTGCCTAGGCGAGTGATAGACCGATCATCTTTTAGGAGCTTATTAAGCGCAGAACCGAAGGTAGATAATGTGATTGCGGTACGTATTTCCTCAGGAAGTCTATTCCAGATGTGAGAGAACTTATTGATGAAGAAGTTTCTTCGCAATTTGGTCTTACAACACTCATTTTCAGCTAATAGGTTGGGATTACGCAAATAGTGAGTAGATGTTACAACTATTTTAATTTCCGGACCACATGAGTGCACTTGCTTACGAAGTAATTTGTGGTAAAATATAAGATTCATTCTAAGTCGCCTCTTCCAGAGGGTTCCAGTCCTAGCATGTTGCATCTCGAGATGTAGTCTAGGCTGCAGTCAGCTCCTAGTGTTCTTAGTGTAAAGTGGCGTTGTACTCCTTCAATTTTTCCTTTGTCGCTTATACGAAGGCCACTTAAGATAAACGGGCAGTACTCTAAAATGGGACGGATGCTCACTTTGTAGAGTAGGACCCTTGATTCAGTGCTATAAAAGTTACGGACGATGCATCCAAGGAGTCTACGTGACTTAGATGTGATACAAGCCGTCTGCTCAGAGAATGTTAAGTCACTGGAATATCTAAGACCAAGATCTAGCACTGAAGAACGTCTAGGTAGCTTTTGCCCACATACTTCGAGAGACACATCTAGGTTATCGCTGCCCATGCTAAGCCAACCACATTTATCAATGGTGAACTGGAGATGGGACTCGTCACACCATTTAACAACTTCACCTAATTCTTGTCGACAGTAGATAGCGTATTACCTAGTTCATGAGTGTAACATGAGTATACAACCTTAAGGTCATCAGCGTATAGGAATGTTTCCCCTACAGTGAAGCACTTGCGCACACCATCAATATAAGTTATGAACAACAAAGGTCCAAGGACACTACCCTGTATTACTCCACTAGTTATGAGCCTAGGTGTAGACTGCACAGAATTTACTTTGACGATTTGGCTCCGATCACTAAGAAATGATTTTAGCCAATGAAGTAAAGGGTCATGGATGCCAATCGATTGTAGCCTATCAAAGAGAATACTGTGTGGCACCTTGTCAAATGCCTTTGAGATATCAAAGTATAGAACAATGACGATTTTACGTGCCTCGCGGCTACTAGTGATGAGGTTGAAGAAGTCGAAATGGCAAGTAACGCAAGACCTGTTTTTAATGAAACCGTGCTGAGACTTTGTGATGAGATTTTCGCTAAGTAGGTAGTCAGACATGCCGCTCTTAATCACTTTTTCCATGATTCGAGAGACGACTGGCGTTATGTTGATAGGTCTGTAGTTCCCAACATTAGCCTTGTCACCGGACTTGTAGCGAGGAAGTATAAAGCTAGTTTTCCACTTGCTAGGATACTCCCCACTTTCCATTCATAGTGTGAATATCTTAAGCAAGAACAACGGCATATCATTACCACTGTTTCTGATGACTATTGAGTTTAGGCCATCTATCCCGTACCTGTCGATAGTTTCAGGCTTTTGATAGCCTCAGTGATACTTTTGACAGTGAACTCCACTCCAGTACATGAACTAGCGGTAATTGGAGTAAAGCTAGGGGGTTTGAGGGCATTAGGGTTGAAATTAGCGAATGATTCGCTAAACAGTTCACTAATCTTGAGGGGATCGTTGGTACCACCCCATTATGTAGTAGATAGGCTACATCCGTTGATGGCTTCAGACGTTTACTCAGAAGGGACGTCAACTTGTGTATTCTAGAGCCACTTTCGAGAGCGACGATCTCTTCGTTTGCTGCGTGTTTCGCACGTAGTGTCTTGATAGATTCGTAAGTCTCATGAATTAAGTGCAGTGACATGAAGTCTTTCGACGAATGGCAATGTGATGATAATTTCTTAAGTTTATTGCGGAATATTTTAGGGATATGTGGGTCTGGCTCCCTAAAAACCCTAACTGTTTTCACGGGAGCAACAGTGTCTAGACATAGCTCTGTATTTCTGTAGAAAAGTGAGTGTGTGTTAATGAGGTTGTGGTAAAGTAGTCATCCCATGAAGAGCACCCGAGGAGCTCGATGGGTACTTCGCACTCCATATTCTTATAGCTTCTATGCCGAGTATAACTTAAAGATTGCTTGTTTTTTTCATTGGA